TACACACCACTAGACTAACACATCTGTCTTTTGTGGACAATCGATACAAAAAATAAAATAAAAAACATAAATATAATTGAAATCATAAATAATGATAAAATCCTTGATTTAATGGCTCTTCAGAGGCGAGCGAGAGAGAGAGAGAGAGAGAGAGAGAGAGAGAATGTTTAGAAAAAATGCATTAAAAAGTGGAGAAAAAATTTGATAAAAACAAAAACACATAAAATTTTCACTCAAACAAACAAACTGTGATTTTCAGGTAATTAATAAATAAATACTTTTCAAAACACAAATCAAATACACAAATGAGACAACAAATGGCAAAATCAGTGCCAAATTAGCCATCAATTCAGGGATTTACTCGTAAACTGATTTCAATACACGAAAGACATTATCGTTTAACGATAATCGCGGTCAACACACAGACACACCACACGAGACATAACCGTAAGACACGAGTCATTTAACCACTTAATGATCATTGGATTCAATAGACGACAGACATGCGAGACAAGCGATGGCGCGGATCAACACACATACAGCACTCCACATACCACTCGCAAAGACATCTAAACCATACGATAGGTCACACATACGATCATCAATACACACCTTCATCGAGGAGTCGCTCGATGTGGAGGAATACGTTGGGAAAGGCTGTCAACTGTTTCCTATCTTTGAGCAGTTGGGCCAAGTAGTCGGCGGTCGACTGCATCGACACGTTGTTGTTGGACGAGTTGGTCGTCGAAGAGTTGCTGTTCTCTCCCATTCCTCGGCTTCGCTCGCAATCCGTGTCCACAAACAACACCCGTCAGAGGCGGCGGTAGTCTTCAAGAGGTGGCGCACACCGATTGTGTGGTGCGGATCCGGTATGCGATCACTTCTGGCTCACAATCAGCTAAACCATCAATCGGTACATTAGTGGACATTAAATACGGCTATAATTACGAGTAAAATATGTCAAATCAAACCATACATTGCACTCCAAGTCTTAAGTAGATCTCAAGAGTGGACAGTCGTGTCTTCACGCAAACAATATACGACTCAAACGAATAGCACGACAAGAATGAGATGCAGTGGCGTGTCGTTCATATGTGTGTTGTGGTGATCACCAGATGATGGCCACAGTGGTGATAGTCATCGACATATGAATGGCTAGTATTGACCGCATATTTGCNCTCAAGAGTGGACAGTCGTGTCTTCACGAAAACAATATACGACTCAAACGAATAGCACGACAAGAATGAGATGCAGTGGCGTGTCGTTCATATGTGTGTTGTGGTGATCACCAGATGATGGCCACAGTGGTGATAGTCATCGACATATGAATGGCTAGTATTGACCGCATATTTGCATCACTTGTGGTGTTTGCAGGCATACAGACAGTCAGTGTGTGTCTCACTCTCACAGTCTCTGCGATAGCACTGCACTCAACGCACGGCTTATAAGTTGAATGCAAAATGTTTTTGTTTTGCACCACAACTCACTCTAACATACAGGCGCTCACTGCCACTCACACACAGTGCTCGGCCCTCTACATCACACGTACACTCTACGCACCTACAGGTGCTGCACATACCTCTGTCCCATTACTCGCACATCACATACACCTGATCACCCACCGCACACCTGTGCCGTAATACTAGTGCTATATTAGTATACACCCGCTATAGTGAAGGGTCAGTACGTTGAGTGCATGCGGTGTTAACCATATACCGGATTTATACTGTACTCCCGTATAAACCGTTCAAAATAAACGTATAGCTCTCATATGGGACAGGGATGCAGTCGGGGGACTGGTATGCTGAATAGCACGACAAGAATGAGATGCAGTGGCGTGTCGTTCATATGTGTGTTGTGGTGATCACCAGATGATGGCCACAGTGGTGATAGTCATCGACATATGAATGGCTAGTATTGACCGCATATTTGCCACTCACTTGTGGTGTTTGCAGGCATACAGACAGTCAGTGTGTGTCTCACTCTCACAGTCTCTGCGATAGCACTGCACTCAACGCACGGCTTATAAGTTGAATGCAAAATGTTTTTGTTTTGCACCAAAACTCACTCTAACATACAGGCGCTCACTGCCACTCACACACAGTGCTCGGCCCTCTACATCACACGTACACTCTACGCACCTACAGGTGCTGCACATACCTGTCCCATTACTCGCACATCACATACACCTGATCAACCACCGCACACCTGTGCCGTAATACTAGTGCTATATTAGTGTACACCCGCTATAGTGAATGGTCAGTACGTTGAGTGCATGCGGTGTTAACCATATACCGGATTTATACTGTACTCCCGTATAAACCGTTCAAAATAAACGTATAGCTCTCATATGGGACAGGGATGCAGTCGGGGGACTGGTATGCCATTGGGTTACTCACTGTGAGTATGCGATGGGATGCCTATGAGTGAGTGCATGAGTGCAGTCATGTGCGGATTGCTAAGCGTAAGGGCCGGTATGCGCTGCGTGTGTCGTACCGTTGCACTCCACTCAACCTAACCGTCCCATCCAGAGTAGGCATCCCCCGGCGCGCTCACAAACAACGTTACGCAGTGGTGGGCAGTGCGGGGGCGGACACACACACTCACACATGTAATGCAAATCCTAAACCAATTTTTTAATTTACATAAATTAAACACTAAACGCACACATAATTCACAGCAGCTTTCAAAACATTTATTTTATAAATAAAAAATTAATTTCTCTTATTTATTCAATGAATATTTAAATGAAATGTTAAAAAAAAGTTAATTCAAAACATAAATTCATTCCCATTTTTCGACTACCATTCCCCTCCTATCGACTGAACTGTCGCTTGTCTTTACTGATGGGAACCGCTCTGTAGATCACCGATTTGTGGGCCCTTTTCTGGCTCATGACGGGCGGCACATAACCGCTCCCTTTCCGGCCGCCACCGACGCCTCCTTTCCTATAGTTATGGGGTTTCGACGGATTCTTACCGCTCACCGCTTCGCACACTATTTGTGGGCCCTTTTCTGGCTCATGACGGGCGGCACATAACCGCTCCCTTTCCGGCCGCCACCGACGCCTCCTTTCCTATAGTTATGGGGTTTCGACGGATTCTTACCGCTCACCGCTTCGCACACATGAAAAAACATGTTTTCCACAATTAGTATACATTTCAATCAATGGCTAATTAATAACAAAAAGTCTATCACTTAATACGTACGTAAGTCGACAAACGGGGGGACACTGAAGCCAAAACTCTTGGCCACCGACACCAGGTCCAGTCGGTTCACGTCGAAAATGTGTTTCAGGGAATGGGAGTCGTAGGCCCTCACGAACGCCTTGTAGGCCTCCTTCGCCGACAGGTTTAGGAAATAGTTTTTTGAAATCAACTTTTCCAGCTATCAATGAGACAAATGTCGCCGAAAAACACATTACATTCAATGAGATTTTTGTAGACAAATGCAAAATATGGGCACAAAATGTCACTCCGCCCGCCCTATCAGTGCCGGGAATTTATGGTAACTTTTCTAAAACCCATTAAATGGGCTAAAATTTACGTAAACCACAAACTTATGGGTGTGAGGGGTACGGGTGTATGGGTTTACCCGCGATATACAGGTAGAGGAATGGGGGGTTTAGTGTGAGCGTGTGGGACGACTATTTCCAACAGATTTTAATTATAATTTCATAAAAGTCTGGTAAATATTATGTGAAAACAAATTGTGTTTTCGTATAATTCGTATAATGTATTCAAATTATGAGAAAAAATATCATT